TAACATCTCACATGAAATCAAAACACATTAACGGAAACTCAAACTCAGCCACACACCACAACGCAAATCCACCCCCATCTGGCACGGCTTGGCGCGGGCGGTGGCGCGGGCGGTTAAGCGGCAGACAGCAGGGGTAAAGAATAATGAAGTTGAAGAACGTCTTTTTGCTTTGATTACAAAAGAGGATTATAGCGATGTTGCAAAATGTAAAAATAAAATAAAAGAATATTGCGATGGATTGAAAAATGCTTCACTAACATCAGAAAAAGTACATAAAAAATTAAAAAATTTTTGCAATGATGGAAAAGAAGAAAAAAAATGCGAGGAACTGAAAACAAATATTGAAAAAAAATGTAACACATTCAAAGATAAACTTAAAACAGCAGCTGTAAAAGAAACTTCAGCTTTGAAAGATGAGGATTGCAAAGAAAATGAACAAGAATGCCTATTTTTGGAGGGAGCATGTTCAAAAGAGCTTAAAGATGATTGCAATACTTTGAGAAATAAGTGCTATCAAAAGAAGCGTGATAAAGTGGCGGAAGATGCTCTTTTAAGAGCAGTTCGCGGAGGTTTAACTAGTGAAGCTACATGTCAAGGAAGGCTCAAAGAGGTTTGCATAGAGTTGAGTCAAAAAAGCGATGAATTAACGAAGCTCTGTCTTTACCAAGAAATGTCGTGTAAAACATTTGTATCAAAAAAACAAGAAAAATGTAATAGCCTTGAACAGGAAGTTAAAGAAGCACTTAAAAAAAACAGTGAATTGCGAGGAAAATGTCTACCATTACTTGAGCAATGTTACTTTCATAGAGGGAACTGTGAAGGAGACAAATCAAAGTGCAGTGAACCTACTAATCAGGACTGCAAAGAATATATACCAGATTGCGATAAACTAGAAGAAGAATGTGAAAAACAAAATATCATTTACACACATCCGGGACCCGATTTCAATCCAACTAAAGCAGAGCCTACAGTGGCAGAGGACATAGGGCTGGAAGAGCTTTATAAAGAGGCTGAGAAGGATGGAATTTTTATTGGAAAGAATCATCTAAGAGATGCAACAGCTTTGTTGGCGTTGTTGATTGAAAATAGTAATGATGCTGAAAAAAAATGCAATGAGGTCCTCAAAGATAAGTGCAAAAACTCTCATGAACATGAGGCCTTGGAAAAACTATGTAATAAAACTAATCCAAGTGATTATAAAAAAAAAAAATGCGAAGAATTAGAGAAAGATATCAGAAAAACATGTGATATTCTCACGTCAAAGCTTATAAGTAATCGTCTTTTTGATGCAGTAAATTCTAAAGTTGAATGGGGCAAGTTGCCAACATTTCTTAGTGATGAAGAGTGTGCAAAACTAGAATCTTATTGCTTTTATTTTAAAGAAAGATGTCCAGATGTCAAAGAAGCTTGTATGAATGTGAGGGCAGCGTGTTATAAGAGAGGGCTTGATGCACGGGCAAATAAAGTGCTGCAAGAAAATATGCGAGGAATGTTACATGGTTCAAACAAAAGCTGGCTTGAAAAATTTCAACAAGAATTAGTAAAAGTATGCAAGGAACTAAAAGAAAATAAAGAAAATTTCCCAAACGACGAACTATTTGTTCTGTGTGTACAGCCAGCAAAAGCGGCCCGGTTGCTTACACATGACCATCAAATGAAAGTTATCTTTTTACGACAACAATTGGATCAAAAGAGAGATTTTCCGACAGATAAAGACTGCAAGGAATTAGGGAAAAAATGCCAAGATTTAGGAAAGGATTCAAAAGAAATTACGTGGCCATGTCATACACTGGAACAGCAATGCAATCGCTTGGGGACTACAGAAATTTTGAAGCAGGTTTTACTAAATGAACACAAGGATACTTTGAAAACTCATGAAAACTGTGTAACATATTTAAAGGAAAAGTGTAATAAATGGTCTAGAAGAGGCAATGACCGTTTCTCTTTTGTATGTGTCTTCCAAAACACTACGTGTAAGCTGATGGTAGATGATGTAAAAGATAGGTGTGAAGTATTCGAAAAAAATATGCAAGCATCAGATATTAATGACTTCCTTGAAAAAAAACAAATAAAAACAGAATCAGCATCAAATATTTGCCCTTCATGGCATCCATACTGTGATAGATTTTTACCCAATTGTCCTGATCTTGACAAAGGAAAAACTTTCTGTCAAAATCTCAAAAAATATTGCGAACCATTTTATAAAAGAAAGGTTTTAGAAGATGCTCTTAAAGTAGAGCTTCGAGGAAAGCTGAGTGATGAAAACAAATGTACTACAGAATTAAAGGGATATTGTACAATAGCGAAAAACGTAAATAATGCGTCAATCAGTGGTTTATGCAAAGATAGCACTCAAGGTAATAATAAAAAGCCTGACGACAAAGTGGTAAAAGAGCTTTGTAAGAAATTGATGGAAGAAATAAAAGAGCAATGTGAGACATTACCAGCAGAATTAACGGAGCTGGAAAAAAGCCTAGAAAAAGATGTTAAAACATATAAAGAACTTAAGAAAGAGGCAAAGAAAGCAATGAACAAGTCTAATCTTGTTTTATCACTCGTTAAGAAAAACAAAAGTAATACATCAAAAAATAATAGAAATAATAGCAAAAACAAGGATAAGAATGCCGTTTCAAACGGATTTCAAGATATCACAGAACATGTGAAAATACTACGGAGAGGAGTTAAGGATGTATCCGTAACAGAATTAGAAGCTAAAGCATTTGATTTGGCAGCAGAAGTATTTGGAAGATATGTAGATTTGAAGGAAAGATGTGAGAAATTGGAATCGGATTGCGGGATTAAAGACGATTGCGATGGTTTAAAAGAAGTGTGTGGAAAGATTGAGAAGACATGTCGCGATCTGAAGCCTCTGGAGGTGAAGTCGCACGAAATAGTCACAGAAAGCACAACGACGACCACAACGACCACAACAACCGTTACCGATCCGAAGGCAACGGAATGCAAATCCTTACAGACAACAGACACATGGGTTACACAGACATCGACACACACAAGCACGTCTACCATCACATCTACGATTACATCAAAAATAACACTCACATCAACGAGGCGTTGCAAACCAACCAAGTGTACGACAGGGGATGATGCAGAGGACGTGAAGCCGAGTGAGGGATTGAAGATGAGTGGGTGGAATGTTATGAGGGGGGTGATAGTAGCAATGGTTATTTCGTTCATGATTTAGAAAGCAAATGAGCAGGATTTAATGATGAGCATGTATATTTACTAGATGAGCAAGCAGGGTAGGAGAGGAAAGAGTAAGGTAGATTGAGTCATCTCTTCAGCATCAATTGAAAGTGCATTACACATGAAATCACGTGTTCCCTATCTAATTGGCCACTATTCTTTGTCTAAATAGCCTTTACTTCTCGTTTATGTCCTTTTATATTCTACTTTTTATCTATTCAAGTTTTACGGTTACCCCGCATTTACCCCGCATTTACCCCACACAAATTTAAATACTACGATATTCAAACATCAGAATATTGTATGGACACACTAAAGATATACTTCAGCACACACAGTGCTTCTCTGACAGGTTTTGTCACTGAATTTCCATAAGAATCTTGGAATTAACAAAGAATTCAATAGTTAATTTCAGTATGAAAACATAACTCTACATCTCACATGTAGTCAAAACACATTAACTCAAACTCAAACTCAACCACACACCACAGCGCAAACCCACCCCCGTCAGGCACAGCTTGGCGCGGGCGGTGGCGCGGGCGGTTAAGCGGAGGGCACAGCAAGTAGTGAAAAGTGTATATGATGATGAGGATTATCTTTTGGCTTTGATTCTAAAAGAAGACGCAATGGTTGAATTACAATGCAAAGAAAGACTGAAAAAATATTGTGAAAACTTAGAAGAAGTAGATAAAAAGTTAAATAAAATCTATCCAAAACTAAAAGATATCTGCGAAGATAAAGACAAGAAATGCACAAGTCTAAAAACTAAAATTACAGGAAAATGTCAAACACATAAAACAACCTTAAATCCTATAGTATTAAAAGCTTTAGAAGAAAATTATGATTGTAAGGAGCATGAACGACAATGCCTATTTTTGGAGGGGGCATGCCCTAGTGTTCTTATAGAGGATTGCAACAAACTAAGGAATCTATGTTACCAGAGAAAACGTGACGAAGTAGCAGAAGAAGTCCTTTTGAGGGCACTTCATGGGGATTTAGAAAACACAACTGAATGCGAAAAGAAAATCAAAAATGTTTGCCAGAAAATAGGCCAAGAAAGTGATGAGTTGACAATGTTATGTCTTGATCAGAAGAAAACATGCGTAAATCTTGTAAAAAAAGGAAAAAGTAAGTGTAGTACTCTGGAAAAAGAAGTTGAAGGAACAATCAAAAACAATGATAAACAAAGGGAAACATGCCTTTTATTGCTTGAGCAATGTTATTTTTACAGAAGGAATTGCAAAGGAGACAAATTAAAGTGCGATGAATTGGGAAAGAAATGTCAAGAACAAAATATTGTTTATATACCACCAGGACCCGATTTTGATCCAACTAGACCAGAGGCTACAGTAGCAGAGGATATAGAACTAGAAGATTTCTATAAAAAAGCGGCAAAAGACGGAGTTCTTATTAGAAGATTTACACTAAGAGAGACAACTGCTTTGCTTGCATTGTTGATTCAGGACTCAAGTGCAACGGGTAGTGATAATAAAGAAAAATGCAAAAAAGCTCTTGAAAAGAAATGTAAAACCCTTCAAGAACATGAACCCTTAAAAAGTTTGTGTAAGGGAAGTGGTCTAAGTGATGATGGAACGAAAAAATGTGAAGAATTGCAAAACGATATTGACAAAACTTGCAAAATTTTCACTTCAAAAGTCATTAATAGTCGCCTTTTTGACCCAACAAAAGGAAATAATGGAATTCTTGGATGGGGAGGGTTGCCAACATTTCTTAGTAACGAAGAGTGTGCAAGACTAGAATCTTACTGCTTTTATTATAAAGAAGCATGTCCAGATGGTAAAAAAGCATGTGTGAATGTGAGGGCAGCGTGTTACAAAAGAGGACTTGATGCACGAGCAAATAAAGTACTGCAAGAAAATATGCGTGGGTTATTGCATGGTTCAAATGAAACATGGCTTAAGAAGTTTCAACAAGAATTAGTAAAAGTATGTGAAAAACTGAAAGAAGAAAATAAAGGAAGTTTCTCAAACGATGAATTATTTGTTCTATGTGTACAGCCTACAAAGGCAGCACGGTTACTTACACATGACCATCAAATGAGGGTTATCTTTTTACGACAACAATTAGATCAAAAACGAGATTTTCCAACAAACAAAGACTGCAAAGAATTGGGGAGAAAATGCCAAGATTTAGGAAAGGATTCAAATCAGATTCAATGGCCATGTCATACGCTAAAGCAACAGTGTGACCGCTTAGGGACTACAGAAATTTTGAAGCAGGTTTTATTGGATGAACACAAGGATACTTTAAGAACTCATGAAAACTGTGTAACATATTTAAAAGAGAAGTGTAATAAATGGTCTAGAAGGGGTGATGATCGTTTCACTTTTGTATGTGTTTTTCAAAACGCTACGTGTGAGCTGATGGTAAAAGACGTACAAGATAGGTGTGAAGTATTCAAGGAAAATATACAAACATCAGAGATCGTTGAATTTCTTAAAAATAATAAAAATGAAATAAGAAGACTGGAAAGAAATTGTTCCTCCTGGTATCCGTACTGCAATAGATTTTCACCTAATTGTCCAGATCTTACTAAAGGAGATACTTGTGCAAAGATCAAGGAGCATTGTGAACCATTTTATGAAAGAAAGGCCTTGGAAGATGCTCTCAAAGTAGAGCTTCGAGGAAAATTGAATAAAAAAAATAAATGTACTACAGCATTGAAGGGATATTGTACACAATTAGGAAAATTAAATAATGAATCTATCAAAAATTTATGCAAAGATAGTACTCAAGGTAACAATAAAAATGCTGAAGACAAAATGGTAGAAGAGCTTTGTAAGAAATTAGTGGAAGAAGTGGAACAGCAATGCAAAGTATTACCTGTAGAATTAACGGTGCTGGAAAAAAGTCTAGAAAAAGATGTTAAAACATATAAAGAACTTAAAAAAGAGGCAAAGAAAGCAATGGAAAAGTCCAATCTTGTATTATCACTCGTTAAGAAAAACGAAAGTAATGTACCAAAAAATAATAGCGAAAACAATAACGAAAATAAAACCACACCAAGCAAACGTCAAGATACCACCGAACATGTGAAAATACTACGGAGAGGAATTAAGGATGTATCAGTGACAGAATTGGAGGTCGAAGCATTTGACCTAACAGCAAATGTATTTGGAAGATATGTAGACTTGAAGGAAAGATGCAAAAAATTGACCTCAGATTGCGGGATTAAGGATGATTGCAAAGAAATAAAAGATGTGTGTGAAAAGATACAAGGAGTATGTTCAAAATTAGAACCACTAAAAGTGAAGCCACATGAAATAAAAACAGTAACGGAAACCAACATAACAACGGTTACAGAAACAGTCAAAGAAGCAGAAAAAACAGTAGGAGATGGAGAGAAATGCAAATCTCTCAGCACAACAGACACGTGGGTTACACACACGTCTACGCATACCAGTACATCCACAACTACGTCTACGGTCACATCGAGAATAACGTTGACCTCAACGAGGCGGTGTAAGCCTACGAAGTGCACCACCGGAGACGATCCAGAAGATGTCAAGCCAAGTGAAGGTTTGAGAATGAATGGATGGAGTATAATGAAGGGGGTGTTACTAGCAATGATGATTTCAGTTATGATTTAAAAAGCAAATGGGCAGGATTTAATAATGGGCATGTATATTTAACAGATAAGGAGGCAGGATAGGACAGGAAAGAGTAAAGTAGATTGAGTCATCTCTTCAGCATCAATTGAAAGTGCATTAC